TCTGTTTCCTCTACCTCTGTTTCCTCTTCCTCTCTTTCTTCTTCCTGTTTGTTCTTCCTCTGTTTCTTCTTCCTCTGTTTCCTCTTCCTCTGTTTCCTCTTCCTCTGTCTCAGGACATGGAAATAACAGCCAACGAACTGAAAAACGTTCTCAACAGAGTGATCACTAAACGTGAGTCTGATCAAAACAAACACATCATGATGTCACAGTTTAGTTCAACCAACCTATAAACAATCGTTTGTCTTACCCCCCCCCTTCTCTCTCTCTCTCTCTCTCTCTCTCCAGATAAGGACCTGAACACGGAGGGCTTCAGTCTGGAGAGCTGCAGGAGCATGATTGCTCTGATGGACGTATCCTTTGTATCGAGTGCATCGGGCTGTGTTGTCTGTGAGAGGCACAACCTGCCGAGACCCTCAGTGTGGGTCTGTGACTGACGCTCGCAGGGCCGAGGCTCCGTCCGTTTTACCTCGAGAGAAAACCCGAGAACACAACTCGTAAAAACGTTCACGATCCACCCCGACACAGTAAAGTCAACAAAAAAACACAACCTGACCTCTTTATGTGGGATGTTTTCTGAGACACTTGAACGACGGACGCTCTTGACGACGTCACGTGATGTTGGTCTTAACTGCGTCTGCTCAGATGGACGGGACCGGGAGACTCAACCTGCAGGAGTTCAGACATCTGTGGAATAAGATCAAGCAGTGGCAGGTGGGGACGCACATTCAAGAACGTCACAGTCACATGCTGCTGAGTTTCATCATTTAAAAACAGCAGCAGCTCTTAAGGGGATTATGGGTAATATCCAGTGTTCAGTTGTGTTTCTGGTCACCACATTGATAGACTGTTTCTTAATTGCTGCAGAGGGCGCTGTTGTGAACGTTACACAGTGTTGCTTTAAAAAACGACGTGGAGCCGAAGGTAAACGTTGATCTACGTCAAATTCACTCATCGTCTCTTTCAGGGAATCTTCAAACATTACAACGCTGATCAGTCCGGCAGCATCAACAGCTACGAGATGAGGAACGCCGTCAACGACGCAGGTGAATAACACGCACAGAGAAATCTTAAAGGGTCGGTTCATCCAAATCACAAAGACTTTGAGTTTTATTTACCCAGCTGAGCTTTGTTCCACAAACCGAACGAGTGTGAAGGAGATTTGATTTGAATTGAAAAACTATATTCTGAAAACACAAATCTTTTTCTGACGAGGGTGAACTGAGCCTTTGAAACTGTTTATGATGAAAATATATAATAAAAAAATGTATTTACACTCAAAAAATACCATCAAAGTTTTTCTAAAAACTGATTCAGATGTTAAATAATTTGATTAAAGCTGCTGAAAGTAAAGATTTTTGATGCCTCACATTTTTACCCAGATATTCTTGTTTGCCAGTCAAATCCTCCTTTAGGAAATATTAACTTTAAAAGCAGAGGAGGTTCATCAGTGCTGGACGCTGCTTTATTATCATCACTATTAGATATTGATGACGTGTCCATTCTGTGAGATCTTCTGATGTGTTGTGAGCTGTTGTGTTTGACGACAGTAGCAATGATTGAGTCTGTTGCTGCACATGAACCTACAGCTTGAACTCACCCTCTGAATCTTCTTGTCACTGTACAGTCATGTGTCTTGTGTCCCGCTCAGGCTTCCGTCTCAACAACCAGCTGTACGACATCATCACCATGCGCTACGCCAACGAGAGCATGAACATCGACTTCGACAGCTTCATCAGCTGCCTGGTTCGGCTCGAAGCCATGTTCAGTAAGTCAGTGCCTCGTGCACACTGGGGAAAACTGTACTTTTTAAATTTCACACATTTTATTTTAGATTTCAGTGGAATATCAAAGTTTTTCAAATGTTTCATTTTAAATTTGTGTTTAAACTGATGCACGGGACTTTGTTGTGCTTCCTCAAGATGTCACATGTGTGTGTTTATTTCCTGGCGTTTAGTTTTAGGGCGCATTATCTTTGAATTGCACGTGAGCTGAATCACAGTTGCAGTGTGGTGGTGTTTCTCTGCAGGGGCGTTTCAGGCCTTTGACCAGGACGGAGATGGAACGATCAGACTCAGTGTGCTGGAGGTAAGACGAGAACTGAGCAACACTTTCAATCCACGTCGGGACACGTGTCTCCTGGAGGTTGACTGTGTGTCGATACGCCTCCTCACCACCTGGAGGAGCAGGAGCCATAAACAGACATTAAGAACAGAGACATAAACATAAAACACAATTATGATCCCGTAGTATAAAAACCATAAGAACAAAGGCAAAACTACAACTCAACTTCTCAAGCCCCATGTCTATTTTGAATTTATGTTTTTTTACGATGTTACTGTAAATGTTCTAAACTTACTTTACTTCGTTTTGCTGCGACAGGACTTCCCTGCAAACGTTATGCTTGTAATATCGTTGAGATAATACTGTTAAAGTAAGAACTTTGAACTTAAATTGTAAAGTTACATGGATATTTAATATGTAATTGTGAATCCATTTCATTCCGCCTGCACTACTGTCGTACGTAAAATGACCATATCGTCTGAATTGATGTTAAATACATGTCACTGTGTGTTTTGTTTTGTGACGTGATGAATCTTTCCCTCTGTCCCTGCTCAGTGGCTCCAGTTGACCATGTACGCCTAGAAAGGCCCATCCTCTCCCAGGTGAGCTCCACTCCACACGAGGACCAGACCTGCCAGCCTTTACCTCAACATTCAGTGTTCCCCGACGGCCGTCAGCTCTCATCCAGCTCCCCTCCTCCTCCTCCTCCTCCTCTCAGATCCTCTGCTCTCTCCTCTCCGACACTTCACCTTTTCCACTTCTCTCTCTCTCGACAGTAGGTCTCGGGCCTTTTCACATTGTCCTTTATCATCCAAATATCAGTCTCCTTTCTTTTCAAACTCACACTTACTTTGTACCGTACATTTCTCAGGCATCAAACACACACAACCTCCTTTTTTTCTGTCACGATACCTCACAGTGCCTCTGCTGGTGAAACATCTCTGTGCTGGTTCACTGTTCATCCCCTGTGTGATCAAACTGAGCAGCGCAGGCGTTTTTCTCTGGTGGACAATGAAGAAACTTGTGAATCACCCTGACACAACATTTCTATAAAAGATTTGTGGGCATCTCAAAACCGACATCACTCTGCCCTCACCCTGTTTTTCACTCACTTATTTTTGTCAATAAAATAAAACACCTGGACTTATCGTTGGCCTTGAGTAGCACGTTAGTACGTTTCACTGGTGCGACATCCTGGGTACGACCCCCTC